TTTTGAAAATCTGGTGGTAAAAACTTCAAAGTATATAAAAATGAACCCCAATGCATTAAAACAAACAAGTAAACAGCTATCCTTTGTACTTAAAAAGTCATTTCCATGTGGGACAGAATTTTAAATTCTCAGTGGAACTTAGACTTTCTGGATCCATTGAAGCTGAGTGAATCCCTGAAACTACTGCTCTGAGACTATCTTTACATTTTAAGGCCAAACTATTCCCTAAAGTCTTCTTTTAACAAACAAACATACAAACAGCTGATCTCAGTAAAGTACACTGGCTTTGAACATTGTGCTCTTTTAACCAGTTCTTTCAGTGAGATCAAATTGAAGACAGCAACACAAAAGGCCGAGGAGGAACTTAAAGGTAACGAGTTTAAGACAATGGTGGTGGAATCATTTAGGTAAGGCCAGTGAGAATGGTAGTCTGTCTTCAAGTCTGACACTGAACTGACCCCCCTTGGCTCAATTTTTACTGAACAACAAACAGATCTGTAAAGGAAACAATAACGCTAGCATGGTATGCACACCTTATCATAACCAACCACTTAAGACCAAGAGGGCAACAATTACCCGAGGACAAAGTGCTGAGGGTTGGGAAGCGGGAACCACAGGGAAGAAGTGGGACAAAGGTGGTACAGTAGGTGACTTGAAACTAAATGTGTAAGAATGGTAGAATGTAAAACTGATGATCTCTTCGGTAAGCCTTCCCCCAAGCCACCATTAAAAAAGTGATCAAATAAATACAAATTGTAAAACTAAAAGTTAAGCTTGTCAAAAAGCTGGCTATTTCTCAAATAAGAAAATTAATAAATGCCAAAAGAAGAATGAAATCGGTGTCAGCCAATTGTACATGTAGAAATCACTGGGCAAGGGCATCTCTTGCTGTGCGTACCTCCACAAAAACAAATCCATGAAAACAGACGGCCGAGTAAGTTCCGTAATAGAATGCTCTAAAAACAGTTATTTCCTATTGGTACTCAGGAGGCTCAAAAGCCCATCACATTTTTACCTTGTGATAATGCCAGGGAGTGGTGATGTCCACAGGAAACCTGTATTATTTTTATACCAGCCAAAGCATTTACTTTCCTATAATAAAAACGAGATAAAGCCTTTAATCCTTTAGGGCAGGTCACCAAGAGGACTAAATATTTAAAACTAACTCAGGTCATACATGTGATTTATGGAAGCCATTCCATTTCCTTCTATTTCTGTAGCACCTTTTTCCCAAAGCCCAAGAACTTTTAAAAAACATGTTATCAACAGGACTGAATCCAAAACATCATGTTATGCAAAAATGGACAATAATGCCTTATAAACTAAAACAACAACAACAACAAAACCCCACAATCTTACTGTCAATGAGTCAACTCCACCTCATAGTGATGCTATAGGACAGAATAGAACTGCGCCTTGTGGGTTTCTGAGTCAGTAACTCTTTA